AAATAATACACAAGCATAAAGATAAATAATGTGAGGAAGGACTCCCTCTCCTGCTAGTTCGATCCTTCACCTTTTCCCACTAGGACACATGATGAATATTTAGGTTAATGATGCTCTCTGAGACAGCATGAAGTACTATTTTGATCTCTTCAAATCATGCAGCTGCTTTCCCTGGAAGCTTCTCTGTGCTAAAGCCCAATCTACTGAACTGTGTATGAACTTGTTCTTCAATTCAAATAAAACCATTAATAGAGCAAATGCAAATCATATCTTACTTCCTCCTCTAGATTGTGTTCAGCTTTAATTAAGGCAAATAAAAATATCTAGGCGATCTGATTGAGGACCCCTGAATGATGGCTCAGGAGCTTTCCTTCCAAAATCTAGTTTTGCTTCACTCATACAGTCTCACTCCCCACCTCACCAACAAATGTATGTCCAGACACACCCATGTGCAGATGCCAGAATGCTAAGCGATGGTCTTCTTTTAGTCAGATAAACAATATATACAATATATTATAAACAATACACGGGCTGCCTGAGGAGAAAGGAGAAAGAGACAGAGCAAGCAAAAGGTTTGAGAAGAAGCCACATGCAACCTTGCACAAACCACAGCTACCTGCGTTTTCACTGTCAAGAGACCAGAATTATAGTTATAGAAATGGAAGGTATCTATGAGGTCCTGCTCAAGCCTTTGATGGACAGCAAAATGGGCTTCAGGGAGGTTTGGTGACTTCCTCAAGATTGCATATCTGGTTGGCAGCAGAGCTAGGAATAAAATCTGAGTCTTTTGGCTCCAAGACCTCTTTTAGTTATAGCACAAAGCATCTTTATTTTTATAATAGTCAAAACTTAAAAATAAACCATTTGGATGAAAACCTTTCAAACCAGTTTATGTAACTTTTTATATACAGAATATAATTAACACTATTGAACCATTTTTTTGTGTGAATGAAGGTCACCATTATGAAGATCGATAATGTCAACTCTGTAATATAGAGTCTGTGAATGCATTCACAGGGGATAGGACAACTGCTTTTTATGGACTTCTGTAGATTTTCTCTTTGCTCTTATTCCTTGCTACTCTCAGATGCTCTAAGTATCATCCCCTTTCCCCGCCTTCTAATTCTTCACTCATGTTTTCTGAAGTCTGTTCTCTAGAGTATTATGAAATGCAGACAAATGTTCGTATTCATCACAGCATTATTCATAACAGCAAAAACAAAACCAAACATAATTGCCAACGTAGGAAATGTTTGGTGAGTAGTACTTTCAAAGAATAGAATATAATGCAGCCATTAAAATTATCTTCACATGAAGAGGTTTTAATAAAATGAGGAAGTGCTTAGGTAATAATGTTAAGTGAAAAAAGCAGGATATAAAACTGCAAGATATCAACTACATCTCAGAAATGCTTGGAGTGAAGGGAATTACCAAAATGTTTACAATGGTAGGATAATAGAGAATTATTCTTCTCTTACTATACCATTCTACTTATTTCTATGTATTTCTGCAATGAAAGTATAATACTC